AGTATAAAAAATATTTGAGAAATTTTCGAAAAAATTATAAAATTTTGAAGAATTCTGAAACTTACAAAACAATTCCGAAAAATTATATAAAGAATTATATAAAAAATTCTAAAAATGTTCACTTATGCTGTTCACTTATACTGAGTTCAAATATTCATTCAATCCTAGTTATCATTCTTATTATTTATCGAACATTAGACAAGGATAACATTACATCCAAGTGGAAATTTGAACACACCTTTAAATGGGTCGAAAGAAAAGGAACAGACTCATAAAATAATGGCACATACCTGTCTTTATGCGCCTAACTTCATGCATGTCCCTGTTGCTCCTGTATCGTGTCTAACGCACTGCAGTGCTACACAACGTCAAGGATAAACTCTGGGGGATTCCAGATTGTTTATTGAATCATGCGAATGTAATAATGCAACATATGACACATCCTGCACCGTGCCGGATTTGTTTTCTAAGCTTGACTGCCGCCGGTGAATCTGTATTTCACCGGTTTTGGTACAATTTGAGCATCTAGAAAAAACAGATATTGGGTTTGTTCCAGCTGTTCCTCGTAGTGAAATCGTCTTTTCTCTTTGCTTTGTACTGTATTTATCCTGTATTCCTCCTTTTCTCTCTAATATCTAATTCGATTATTTGTCTCATTCTAAATGCAGATATTAAATAGGAAAGCATGATTGCAGTGCACCGAGAAATTTCAAGATGGTGATGATTTAAAGACAGCTAATGAAGGATAATATCTATCGCTCCAAAAAAACAGGTGTGACAGAAGAAAAAAAAAAGAACAACTTCTCTCAGCTTCAATTTGTAACACTAATTTGCACATGTGATTTTCCGAAACTATTTCTTCGTTTGTTTAATCGACTGTTCAAAACTTTGAATTTATCTTACTGTTTTGTTTACAAAACATTGTATAAGAGATATCTACTTGCGATATCTTATATAAGAAGTTTTGTGTCACATGATTTGAAATGAATCTGACAGTCGGAAGCTTTCGATATATTTATAAAAGTGACATAGTCATCAAGCTAATTAGGATTTGATTTATAAATCTTGACTTATTCAAATATTGAAGTGCACTGAATAACAAATTTGCGAGGTATCTCGTTGATAAATCTGGAGATGGAGCGTAACACTAAGTTTGTCGATATGCTTGAGGATAGACGAAGGGATTGTGACTTTTTGTGGGCGACACGGCCTATGGATCCAGCATTACCGCATATGTTGCCACCAGATTCAGTCTATGACAGGGAGAGGATTATGCAAGCTGTTTTGCAGGACAAACAAGTCAAAGCTGCCATCGATACAATAGCAAAGACTACAGGTGTTGGAATTAAAGATGTTGAGAATAATGCCCGTGCTATGATAAACGAGATGGCTAGTAAAGCAGATTTGGCGACTGTTCGTTGGATAGGTATATATTTTGATAAATATTGTTTTCTAATTCCATGTACTACATACTTATTTTATCTTCTAATGTTTTTTTTAAGAATTGTAGTTAGAGAGACTATAATGTTTTATTAAATAATGTTTTTTTGCCTCAGGAAGATAAAATAAAATTATATTTCTAATAAAATTTCAATGATTGATGAATATTAGCACATTTGTTTCTTGCTAAATGTTTTATAATATATTTGATAATTTCAGGTATTTTTATTACGAAAGCTATGAAGAGAATGTTCTCGCAGATTTACATAAATGAAATCATGCTTTCTAACTTAAAAAAGGAAACACAAATATCTCAAGCACAGTATATCTATGTTCCATCACATAGAAGTTACTTGGATTTTATTTTGTTGTCATATATTCTCTTTTCTTACGACATGGCATTGCCGAATATTGCAGCTGGCATGGATTTTTATAATATGAAAATAGTGGGAGAACTACTGCGAAAAACTGGAGCATTTTATATAAGACGTAGTTTTTCAAATGATTTATTATACAAGCAAATTTTTCGATCATATGTTAACACTATTGTTAGTCACAGCGATAGGGCGATAGAATTTTTTATTGAGGGTACACGGAGTCGTAGTCAGAAGAGTACGATACCGAAATATGGTAGATAAGAAAAGATTTTTAAATAATCTGAAATTATGAAAAAGAATAGATATTGAAATCTTATATCAATCTTTCACAGGTCTTTTATCCATCATTATAGAAAGTTTGCTTCAAGGCGATGTGCCCGACATATATTTTGTACCTATGAGTATCAATTATGAACGTCCACCAGAAGAATTATTATTTGTTTATGAAATGCTAGGAGTCCCGAAGCCGAAAGAAAGTACGGCTCGACTTTTTCGGTCACTCTCCATTCTACAGAAACCTTTTTCTCATGGACGCATTTTCTTTAACATCGGGGAGCCAATATCCGCCAATCAATTCGTGGATAAGGCATATCGACAAAAAAAAATTTTACAACCTTCCTTCAAAATTCCATCATCAGTTGTGGAGAATATAGCTTATCTTATAATAGAATCACACAAGAAGAATACTGTACTTATGCCGATCAATATTATAGCTTTGCTCTTCAATGAAAAAATTCAAACGAAACCGAAAGAACCATATACACTCGATTTATTGATCCAAGACTATCAATGGTTTAAGAGCTTTGTTATTAAATCATTGAAAGCCTTAATGTATGGAACTGAAACGTAAGTATTAAACTTTGTACAATATATAGTTTGGAGTTGTAATTAACCTGCATGTGCAACATTATCCATTCTTAGTTTTTAATCTTGCCTATTATTTTAGTTATAAGCTATAGACATAAATATCTGTTAATATATATATCTTCAGAATTCTACATTATGTATACGTAATTTGTTGCAGTATTGATAACGATATGATCAAACAGGAAATATTGGAATCTTTAAAACCTCATGATGAGTTAATAGTACTTGATTCATCAAACACATTAAAAATCAAACAAAGGCATAAAAGAATGAAACAATTAAATTATTCAAATATTAAAGGATATCCTCTGTCTGAACAGACTTTACAAATAGCGGTACCTGCCATTAATATTGCTATTTATAGTAATCCGACTTTGGCTTTTTTAACGGAAATAGTTTTTATAACTGCAACGATAGGAGAGAATGGCATTGAAACTGGTAATGATTGTAAACATTAACAGCAATAATGTTTTATTTAATTACTGATGTAATAGTAAAATATAAAAAAGTAATTATTGTTTTCTTTCCATGCAAGTATAACAGATTGGAAAAGATTACTTTATTTATTTTTCTTATAGTTCTTTTATCAATTTTTCTATTTTATTTGCAGAAGTAGCTTTGGAACGGTATGAATTGTTAAGAAGATTATTCAGCACAGAATTCGCGATGCGACCGATTGAAGATAAAGCTTTAATTAAAATAGAATGGGAAAAGTCGTTAAATGTATTGATATCACAGAACTGCTTGCATACAGTGAATGATTTAATTTTTATAGGAAATAATACCAAATTGTTTTCCATCTTGCATAACATTATATTACCATTCATAGATGTTATGTACGTAACATGTATCTTATTATCTGAGGTAAGAAAAATTTATCTAAACGAAACTAACTCTAATAAGAGACAATACATTAAATACATTATACTTTCCTCTTTAGTGGACGGAAAGAACGTCAGTCGAACTCACGGATCGGACAATTCTTGTCGAAACGCAGAAAGAAGTGGAAAGATTAATATTCGAGACTAAAGACAGATGTCAACATCCCTACTGTTTATCTCTTGATCTATATAACATAGCATGGTCTAGCTTGTTATCGCAAGGTATCATCGCATATCAGAAATATACCAATACGTATCGAACGGATAAAGTAAAATTGACGTATCTCATCGGAGCATTGCTCGAATTACCATTACGTCATCCAACGGAAATCTACGTCGATGCGTTTCCTTCAATTATTTCAACATCATCGATGGATGTACAAGCTAAGTTATAACAGTTTATCATGAAACAATGAATTTGGTACACAGTCTGACTAACAAATTGTTCAATGTTAAACAGACTATGGTTAAATTCAATTAAATAAAATTTGAATTAACCGAATCTGCAAACAACTAAATGTGTTTAGTTAATTAAATAAATTTTTTTTCAGTGTATTAATAATAGCATTAAATTAATAAGAATAATTCGATTTTAACTGTGAGATATATGTGTCGATACATCGATAATACATTCCGCTTTAATTTCACGAGACATGCAGGGTATATTATTATTGGTGGCACAATCGGGAAAAAAATAATCTTACATGAAAAAAAACTCAGATAAAAGATCTATCCAATTTTTTCATATAAAGCTTTGTTGATTGAAATTCGAGAAATCGCCATTTATTCAAGTTCACATAATTTTTAACCTTTTTCTACGTACATACATATATGTATAAAGTTTTCAAATCTCTCATTTTTAATTTTAAAATTGATTTTCTCGAAAATATATAAAGCTTCGTATGAAAAAATTTTGTCATATATTTTTGACATATTTTTTCATATAGAATCATTCATTTTCCAGTTATTCCTACCACCAATAATATACTATTTTGTATTACATTTTAAAGATCAGGAACGAAACTATTAATGTTATTAAGTATCCTAGCAGTGTCGTCGTCGAAATCGATGGATCGTTTTCGTTTGCCAAGAAACACTGTAGCGGCGGTTGTAGTGGTCGTAGGCGTATTAATATTCCGGAGGAGAAGCTGCAATGATTTTTCTTCAGTAATACACATCAAAGACAGTAGAGTGCAATTTTATAATTAGTAATAATTCTAATCAGGGAGATCAATGTTTCGAGGAATATTCCTTACCATGACTAATCGAACAAGATAAACTGCAAACGTGAGGAATGATATGGCCATCAGTGTGCCTTCTATCGAAGGGAATCCTAAAGAATGATCTTCGTGATCATCGTGCCCGTAATACTCGACACCTCTTATTTTGCGACTTGGTGCCATAGTAGTAGTAAGGCGAGATTCTGTTGATGAGTATAATATATAAAAACTTTCAATAACGTGCGGAGGAAATATGCGGGCAAATTTTACCTATCTCTGACATCAATGTTTTCTCGATCGTTTTAAGAAAATAAAGTTTTCCTTCGACTGATGTTGGTTGTGATTGCAAAGTATGATGAACATTTTTGAGTATGTCTATGGGCAAGTATTGGAATATACCATCATCCCGCTTCGATGTGTCGTTGTCATATTTATCTTGCGACATTTTTTGTTCGGTATTTGGTGGCGGTTGAGTCGTAAGTGTGTTAACCATTATATCTTTTGTTGATGACATCATATTATTCTTGTTAAATCGTTCTTTGTTTAATTTATTCTAAAACATTTAAAATATTTACAATGTCAAAAAATAAATTATTTTGTTTATACATGGTTTGTTTAATTTCAGTTCTTTATCCCGTGAACGTCTTTCCGTTACCTCTGTCACAGTATTAGTGATCGTTGCAGTGTGAACTGTTGTACCGATATTTGCGAAATTGTCGGTGATTTGATCAGGAAATAGATTCACCGGCGTTGTTGATACCGAGACAGAATTTATCTTCTTAATTTCCGTCCTATTATGCATCGCATACGTGGCTTTGACCCGATGATAAGCTTGGCTACCATTTCGTTGATTACTGGGAAAATTAATGTTATCCGTGTCGCCTCGTCTAAATTTATAAAACTGATTGTGCTGTACAGAAGGTATCCTTAAAGAGTATACAAGCGATATTAATCTAGAGTGATCCAGAGAATTAAGTGATGTAATTAACTTACCTATAAATCTTTGTTTCATCCGAGAATTGTGGCATGTCTACCCATTCCGCTACGATAACGTTAAGGAAAAATATTATGGTATACAGAGCGCAAAATGCGCCGCGCACAAACATATTTGGATATAATATTACTTATTATTATACGTTATTCCGCGGGCGAAACACATCTCATTCTTGTTACTAAATCAAGTATGTAACACGTGAACTTCTCCGAGTCTCTACTGTGTATCTGTAATTCAGAAACTGTCCTGTGTCGGGCATGGATATGCTGCAGGTGACACGCGCGAAGAGACACCATTATTTCCAGCAGAGATGTTCTGTTAGGATTAAAGAGAACGAAACGGCTGATGATGCTCACGCGTCGGAAACGGTTGTTACAGAAAAGGCCACTTCCTTACGTCTCTTTCTATGATTTATTTCGCATGATACTAATTCAATTTGTCATGATTTGTTTTTCTCTCATGACGTTGATGGAAACGTGATTTTCCAAGAAAGATTTTAGGGAACACATTCGCGAGGAATAAATAATGTAGCAGTATATCACTTTTTGGATGAATAAGGCAAATTCCGTTTATTGGTACCATTTTCGGATAGAAAGCTTAGAGCGATATACAAATTAATTTAATATCAAAACTCACATGTGGCACTGAAAAGCCATCTTCTCCTCCGTTCAATCTAACGCATTACGAAGAGAAACGTGCTCACACATGAATATGAACATGCTGCCACTTGATTATCTTTTATTACTATTACCACAAAAAGAACATATAAATTGAGATTTTTATCTGGCACTAAGTACATAAGCCGGCAATCTATTGTACATATTGTTCAAGACGTTTGCGTAATGTTTTTTTTTAGATCTCAGGATATCAGATTAGATTAGGTAACATACGCATTATCTAACCGCACGATACATTGCTTTCTTGATTCAGAAAGTATAAGTTCTTTTAAAGTACGAAATTGTAAGTCGAATTTACGTGCAATTACATGAGAGTTAATAAAACTCTTTTTATTATATGTTGCTTATTTATATATACGATATATCCTGCTTTCCAACCACGAATGCGTAAAAGCATAAAAATAGCGCGATGGTAAGTATAAGAGATTACAATTACAGCATTTGTTCCTACATACATTGGAGTATTTTCCTTCCTTTTATGCGGGAAGAACATTTAAATGCCTGGCATTAAATGCATCGAATATTATAAATGCGTTTTCCATGAGTACGAGGTTGATCGCATACGCACGATTTAAGAGATTATATTTGCATAAGTAGACTTTTCTTAAGTATAGGTGCGTACAATATGCGCATAAGACATTGATCTACGATATTCTACGAGTAAAGTTACGATAAATTTTTTAAAAGTTATTATAAAATATAACAATTAACGCGCCTATTGACGCACGCGCTTATATATCTCTTATGTTACAAGTATATCGATTATCTCTTTATATTTTTATCGTCATTTCGCATTGTGATATCCTCATTGGATATATAATATTTACTCTGTTTCTTAAGGAACGTAAAAATCGCACTATTGCATTACGATATAAAATGAGAAACGTTTTCTACACTACTTATAAAGATTATTATAAAGATTATTTAAGGTATAGGCCGCATTTTTAAGGGTATTTGCCAATTAATGATCCAATACATACTCAACTATTCAAAATCGATATATTCTCTTTATATAGTTATTAAATATAGAAATATTTCCTCCGGAAAGATTGCACCTCTTTATCTCAACTATCTACGAAATATTTTAAATAGATTCATATGAAATCAATTATTAGGCTAGTGCAAAAGCTTCGTCGTTTTCTTTACATTAAATTTTTTATTAAATTTTGAGTTAAATAGACATGGATCGAAATTCTTTAAAAAGATATTTAAAAATGTTTTTTTTCTAAATAGAGAATAATATACTTATATTGGAATTAATAAAAATAGCTTCGAGTTTATGCAATTTCATTTTCAAGTTTATTTAATGACTATGACAAACTTTTCTTGCACCATCTTAATAATTTTAATAAGTTCTCTCCCATATGATATTCATTTCTAGCTAGTTCTAGCTAATCTAAGTCAACCTCATTTCTCTCGTATTGACTACTGACACAATCATTGTTTCATATCATTGATAAGCAAATTATAAAGAGAATATGTAACCATCGCATTTAAATATATCATTCAACGATTTTAATATTATCGCAATGAAAAAACGATATATATATATATATA